TGAAGGGCTTTAAACTGATGTGCTGCTCTCCTAATTCAGTGAACTTTTTATGGCTGTATCAGCAAAACACTGTTTTCAGCGCTTTTTCCTGCCCCATTCCTTCTGAAACCTGGAACCGCTTATTCCATTTACTCCTGCCATCTGACGATGGTCGTGCTGACTACTAGTTCCGGCGCTAGTAACTGCTCCAGTTTTGCACCCGGCACAAACTCAGGCGGCACCGGGCCGTGGCTCGACCATGGGGAGGGTCGGACCGTGCCGACTGCCTGGGGCGCGGTTAGATCGGACGCCCTGCTGGGGAAGGGGACGGGAGTGAGCGGGAGTGGAGGAGGTGGTCACGTGGTCCGTCCAAGCTCGCAGACGACCTGTCCTGCGCCCAGCCATGTTCCGTGATCCAAAATGGCACGAGAGCTGTGAAATGCCTGAAGGAGACTCTTCGAAAGCGAACTTCAGCAGCACTAATTTACCATATTCTGTGGAGATAAATTAATATTATCTTAATACAGAAAAATTGTATGCTCAAGCTGTATAAGCTGTATCTTTTTAAAAGTTGTAAATAGGATTATTTTTATGGACTTATAGGTTTCGTATACACAGTGAATTGTGTTACAATAAGCCTTTTCACTGTTATGGTTACTAACTGAAGATTTATCCTTTTTTCTCACAGGAAATGACAATAAATAACAATACGAATAAAACCAGACGTTTCGCACAAAAAGTGCCTCCGTCAGTGGCAAGAAATAAGTAATTAGGCATACATGTTTTCTTTCGATAAAATCGATGAAGTAGTTATCTTCATTTTTAAAATATATTTTCAGCAGTTTTTTAAGCACATCATGGAAGCTTATAAACATTTGTGTATTTTATCGGCAACCCGGCTGGCCAGACCGAGACGGTGCCGCATTTAGTTCTCATCGATGTTAAACCTATACACTTATTTTTCTCCACTGACGAAGGCACGTTGTTGTCCGAAACGTTTGGTTTTATTCGCATTGTCTTTATATTGTCATTATCCGTGAGAAGAACATACCTACTCATATGGACTGGTCTCAGTTCATGTAGAAATTGTTGCACATTCATCAACACAGATAAAATGAATATTTGCCCTCACCACACATATAAGTAGAGGTAAGTAGACCGCGCCCCCTGTTTTTCACCAATAAATCGCGGCAAAGCGAAGGATTGCGACGATTCTTTGGTGCCCTGGAGTTAATCAATTTTACAACTTCCCGGAAAATTAAATAGCCCTTATCATTTTTTGCATCTTGTCTGAGAATTTTAAATCCCTGAACCAAAATATCTTTAACCTGTGATTATTTTTCTCAAGATCATGTCAGGCCAGAATAGCAATTGAAAGTCAGCGCACATCTTCTGTGTGTTTCCATAGTCGTTTCGTGATTAGCAACGTGACAACATGTGAAATATACTATCTAATGTTTGTCTCATTGATTGTTGTGGGTGCCAAGGTCACGTGAAACTCAGGTTAAGGTCATTTACTTGAAATGATCTCGGTTAACTTCCTTAAATTTACCCCTTTTTACTGTGGTTTTTAGGAAGTGTTGGTTTGGAATTTAGCACCCATTTTAGCATTTGAAAACTAGGCATACTTACTTAGGTATCAGTTATAGTGCCTATGCAATATGTTGCAAGGCTGTAAGTGCTGGTTAACATTCTATGGGAAGCCGGCAGAACGCCTAAGGGGTGATCTGGCGTGACCCGTCCTACCCCAAATGCTTTGATACATCATCTTTGATCAAAACAAGTGCAAATTCGGAGTCAGAAGCAAGCCACGTCCCAGAAAACTTCACTTGTAGAAATTCTAGCAGGACCCAATTTTCCGTGCTTTTGGGTTATTAACCTGATCTGGGAGGTCAACCAGTGACCTAGGATCTCAGCATTGACCAGGACATAAAAATAATTGGCTTTTTCTTGTCAGCGATGACCAGGACCCTCAAATCATCGGATTTCTCTCGTCACGAGCAGCTCGCTCTTTTTTTATTTTTCAGCGAAGCTCTGGCTCTTTTTATCAAGGGCCGAATGGCTGAGGGTTTCTACGCCCCTCCGCTACATGTAAGACGCTGAAAAGAAATGCCTAAATGGGTGAGGGTTAAATATCGATTGGTTTTTAAGTGCCGAAGCTCGAAGCACTTTAATTTACTTCGATAGCAGTTTTTAAGACCAACGAGCTCGAATACTATAACTTCTTGAAGTCAATGTAAGAAGCACCACATAAAAGGAATCGTGAGAGAAGCGACTCAAGATTAAGGAGCTATGAGACACTTAATAAAAACGGCATAGATTAGAAACTGCACCTAACTTGCACTGGTTTTTAAACTTTTTCGTTGCAGACTGGTAGATTAAATTTTAGGATTGATTTCAGCTGATGCTCAAATGGAGCTATTCATTCGTTCAGTCATGCGACCATCCAATTCCATTAATAAAGAAGCCAGTGACAAAATTGTTCATTTTAGATAAGTGTGAAATACAAACTCAATAAAAGTTAAATGATACGGCAAATTTGACAGCTTTTATAATGAACAGACAAATAACTTTAACAAATCAAGGTTGAGAGCCCCAAATAGGGGAGAGTGAGGTAAGATGAGCCAAGGGGCAAGTTTAGCCACCCCATGTTTCTCAGCTCCTATGACGCTAATTAACTTGAGCTTCCAGGTGCCATTCGCTTACGATGCTGCAGTCTTTCACGTGAGACGGCAACGTTCTCACGCTCAGCACCCGGTAACATGTGGTATCGCCCCTGATAACTAAGACATGTTTTGCCTTTAAAATGAGATGGTTGTTATCTGCTGTGCATGGTTATTTTCCTTAGCGGGTGTCATTAATCGAAAATGGCCACGGGTGGGGCAAGATGAGCCACTCTCACCTGGGGGAAGATGAGCCGGATAAGCCACTGTTGTCTCCGCTGTCGAAAACCAAACTGAGCTGCGCTTGTTTCTGCTGTATAAAAATGGTAGGAAATTGTTTTTCTTTGTTGATTACACAAGTTGTAAGTGATTTGCAGATTATCTGAAGGATAAAATGATTTCTTCCGTGATAGAAAACTTGACGAGTTATTGGAAGGCTTAAACAGTCACTTTTTGATGGAGGAAAAAACTGCCATAAGTATGTATGCCATGGAGTGAATAAAAGAGCCCACTCTTCGCCGCGCCCGGGAAAAGAAGAGGCTCGCTTTTTCTATCCATGCTCAACTTTCCCCACGACGTGTCTCAACTTACCCCGCCCATGGGGTAAGATGAGCAACGTGCAAGATGACTTTTGACGTAGCCTTTCAGTACAAAAATAAGCGGTATGAAACATTTTCTGGCCACCATTACATGCGCAAATGACCACTCTGTCCGTCCAACCCGTAAACGCCGAAAAATGATCAGTAAGTTAGCCTGTAGCTTTCGAAAAACAAAAAGCGACTCAACTTACCTCATTCTCCCCTACGTAACACAATTGAGGGCATTTTTTAGGCCATCACAGTATTTGTCAACAATTGTTGTTTGGGGGACTGGGGAGGGTGGTTACTGGCTCATAAACTGTCTCCCCCCCCCAAAAAAAAAAAAAAGAAAACGAAACCGATCATCCGCGAAAGGAACTATTGAGCTCGAACCAAGGTGACGAATCGATTTATAGGTATGCAGGATGACTAACGATGTCACTTTTTTGACTTCTTGTGTCAAATAAATTCCATCATCTGGATAGCACGTCAACATTCTATTTGACATTTTACAACAAACGTATAACTATTTGGCGCGACTAGCCTCATAAATGTTCTGAAACTAAAACCGTTTCTTCGCAATTAACTTGGACCACGTCATCCCAGCTTATGCACGACAAAAATAAAATAATGCTTCAGGATCACTGGCCTGAATTCCAATGCTTAAAGTTTACTCAAAACCGGTGTGGCTGAGGCACTCTTCGCTACATCTCGTGACGACCACCATTGTGTTGCATTTTTTCGGTAAGTTATAAGTTAATAAGGAAAGGATTGGTGAGTGGGTTGAAAACAGCCCTCACCCTCCGCCCCCCCCCCTCCTTCTTCTGGAAACATAAGTAACCGAAAGATCTGGCGATGGTTTACCTCCTCTGCCGCCGCGCTGCGAGGCCTCGATTCGTTCGGTATGTGGCTTCCTGAGCGGTCCTCCCCGGAGGCAAGGTGAAAGGTCATGGCCTGTATCAGAAATTTATACGTTGCTGAATAAATTCTATAGTTCTTCCAAGGCCTTGGACACCGTTTTATTATATCGGATAAGCATTGCAATTTCTTGTCAATCAATACATCTAAAGAAAACTTGATCATAATCTTATACTGCGGCAATTGTAGTTCTGCTTACGGTTGCCTCTTTATGATACGGGCCACCACCACCTCCACTGCGCTGGAGCTCTGGCGTTCTACCCCTCCCCGCTACGGACCGGCCCTCGGGCTAGGTGTGTTAGTACTGAGCGCAAACCTGTAGTAGTCACGTGACTTTCATTCACGTAGCGGGAACGGAAGCTATAGGCGATACCAAGGACGGGCTCTAGGGAGGCAACCGGCGCGGAAAAATAGCACGATTGTAGTTTTGGAAGAATATCTGTTGCGGTAAGAGGAATTATACAAAACATACGTCCTAGGAGCAAACATGTGTTATTCCTCCATACTTTGCGCTACATTTCCTTTCTCCAATGGCCGGCACTTAGCAAATAATAGCGCAATTCTAAATTGGTAATATATGTGTACAGTAGCAACTGCGGGTCCCTGTACCTATCCCACTGTGAGACGAGGGCTGTATTTTTACGATATGAAAACGACTGCAAAATAAGGATTAAGTATTTTTGAATGTTCTGGGATATATTCATTTTCTACGTTTTGTTACAAAATTTTTCAATATTTATTAGACACTAAGATTGTTCCGTTTTTCCTTAATCTAAATAAAAAATTAATTGACTTTAATTTATATCAAACTTTTGATTATACGCTCAGCTGTGTTCCTGTTTACGGACCTTGATTCGCAAGATTCGCAACTGTTTTCAGCCATCTTTGTGAGAAGTTGTGTTGTGTGGTCGTCGGATTGTGAGCGACGGGTGGTGTTGTGTGGATTGTTTTGTTTTAAGTTCGGTTTAATAGATCCTTGGGAGACAAGGGTTCCTAATCACAAACAAATAAAATGTCTCTAAAACGGATTAATAAGGTAAGTTGAGTGTACCAGAAGTGAATGCATGCAAGTGAGGTAAATGGTTCGTCTACCCTTGTTCTTTTTGTGCATTTCAACTTATTTGTGCTGTGCACTACATTCCATTTTAAACTTATTGGTGTAAATGATGGATTAAAAATGCGTTAAGTGGGCTGTTAGGGACAGGAATATTGTTAATTTTACTCTAATACAATTTTGAAGCATACAAGACAATTGGGTATTTATCTGCTTTAGGACGGGTCACCAATTTACTTTTGGTGCAATCCCCAATTAAGAAGCAAATTACGTGATATCCTTTGACCTCCTGATTTCATAACTCTAATACAATTTTGAAGCAGACAAGACAATTGGGTATTTATCTGCTTTAGGACGGGTCACCAATTTACTTTTGGTGCAATCCCCAATAAAGAAGCAAATCACGTGATATCCTTTGACCTGATTTCATATCTGATAATTATTCATGGCTCAAACAAGTTGAAAAGCACCAATACAATATGGAAAGTACCGTAAATCAGGGTGACAATGATGATGATACCCGGGGTGACTGATCATAGACCACTTTTGGGCCTAAAATGAGCATTTTGCTGCTGTGAACTGTATTTTCTATGCCAATGGTTAAATAAACCAATGAAGCATTATAGTAGACACTTTGGTCCCAGTTCAAGCTAAGATAATCATGTTGATGTCACAGCTTGTTTTTTTTTGTCATTGACTTGAAGTATGAAGTTGCTAGCATCTCCAGCAATAATAATGGTAAAGAGGAGAAATGACCCTGATAAAGAAAGAGAAAGTGAAGGCTTAGATACTGAGGATGGAAGATGAGCATTGAGCTGCTCTAACACACAGTGGTAATTGGAGCATCAATGAGAAGTGAAAAAGACAATCAACTGGGAGGGGCATGAGCAGTGTGGCAAGAGAATTGTCCAATTGGTATGATGAAACAGTTTCCAGAGTGAAATCTTAAGTGATATAGAGGATATTGTACCATAATGGTCAAAAGTGATACAAAGTCACCCCCGTTTATGGTACCTAACTTCAACCTGCTTATGGTAAAGCAGTGCAGGTTTTCCGTTCACAGGAGCTACAGGACCTGGGTCGGGACCCCCCAGCACAGTGCTCAGTGTATTTATGTGTAACAAGGTGTTGTTTTTCCGTTCACAGGAGCTACAGGACCTGGGTCGGGACCCCCCAGCACAGTGCTCAGCGGGACCAGTAGGAGACGACTGTGAGTACTGAGAGCTTGATGGATAGTGTTTGATGGTGGCAATTTTTGGTTGGTTGGGAATGATTATGAGCTAGACGGGTACGACTGGGAAGGATGGGAGCTGGTAGGACATGAGTCGGGAATGAATTAGCAGAGCTAGAGATCTGTGGGCCGCGTTTGGTCAGGCGTGTTTTTGCAGTCCTTGTTGGACGCCGATGTCATTTGAATTCGGAAATCACTCCTCCCATACACCAGATTATCATAATAATCATTATCTTCATTCGTTTACCTCATGTCTTTTTGGCCATGTGGTGTATTCGTTACGTGGTGTGTTCTGTTTGTTTCAGTGTTTCACTGGCAGGCGACTATTATGGGCCCGCCCGACAGTCCGTACCAGGGGGGCGTCTTCTTCCTCACAATTCACTTCCCCACAGACTACCCCTTCAAACCGCCAAAGGTGAGTTAAAGATTCACCTCCAAACCGCCAAAAGTGAGTTACAAACCACCCCTCCAAGCCGCCAAATTACCCCTTCAAACCGCCAAACTACCCCTTCAAACTGCTAAATTATCCCTTCAAACCGCCAAACTACCCCTGAAAACCACCAATAGTGAGTCACAGACTAGCCGCCAAAGTTGTAATGTACTTGTTCCACTCACAACCAGAAAAGGTATTGCGAAAATAACGAGCGTGCTAATGAGTGTGTGTTTTTTTTGGAGACTCGCAGCTCGTTAAACGTAAAAGGTAGGTAACCTTGCTTTAGCGGCATTTGTGGCCATTTTTTAAGTGATGGTGTCAGCTCTGTCGTAATGTGTTTTCACGTCATGCCCGATGAACTAATGATGTTCTCAAAATTGTAAGACGAACCGCTGTGCAATCTTTGACGCCGTTCCCTCGATATTTGAGAGATGCGAGTCGATACAGACGTTCACTACGGGAAGGCTGATCGATATCGGTATCGGTGCGTTCTTAATTCCTTGGTCCTATCAATGTCGCATCGTCCAGGGCTTGTGCGGTTAGTTCTGGATTGATGGAACGTGATCCCTTTCATTGTTAGCGTTTACGCGGCCGATATTATTTGAGCAGTACTGATTTGACCTGGTTCTCGTTAACCCTCGCCCGTAAACGGCGATCTGCCACCTTCGCCCATGCAGGGGGGGGGGTTGGTGCGACCCCCCCCCCTTGGCGTTTGAAAACGGAGCGTCGTAGAGCTTAGCGGAAAAGACCAACGGATTGCTCTCGCCGAGATCTCGCGATTGGTGGTATATTTTTTGGTCCTAGGTCAACATTTGACCTACTTTTGACCGGTCAAAGGTCAAATTTTCGGAAAAATAGACTTTTTCAACTTTCGGCGGCGATTGCGGCAAAACGGTGGGAGATATCGACTTGAAACCTTCACTATCGTGTTTCTTGATCAATTCTCTATCGTTTGGTATGTATTTCGTTTCCCTAGCTCTAAAAATGGCGCGTTGGGAGCGCCGGAAGTCGGCAAGGTCACAGTCGGCGGCAGAAATTCGAAAAATCAAAATTTAAATTTTTGAAATCTGATTGTATTTTTGGATTTGGGAAGTCCATTTGCTCCCTATAGAAGCTAATATTGCTGCATATTCCCATTGCGGTGACAAGAATTAGCAAAATAGTGGTTCGGGCGCTTTTCAAAAATAGTACCGGACGCTGTTCCTCTTGTGACGTCATAGCTCCATGACCTGACCTGACCCGGTCAAGTTTCTTATACCATATGATAGCCAATACTTGCCCCAACATGCATGGGAAGTTTCATCACGATCCATCAACCGATCTCCGTACCACCGGCAGGAAACCTCGGGCGTTGGCACTCAGTTTGTGAAAATCCGGCCGGAGGCTGTTCCCTTTGTGACGTCATAACTCCGTGACCTGACATGACCCGGTCAAATTTTTTTTTTATCAAAAGATGCGCAAGGTTTGCCCCATAAGGTACCCAAAATTTGGCGGCGCTGCGGGCCGCCGTTTTTGCACTATTTCCGAAAAACCTCGGGGGGGGGGGGGGTGCACCAACCCCCCCTACATGGGCGAGGGTTAAATCAGCGTCATGTTGCCAGTGTTGTGCAATACATATCTGACGATTGCTGCTGACTGATTGTCTTTCATAGAGCTACGTATTGTTTATTTGTGATGCCAGGCGTGGACAACTGAACTCATCATAAGCTTTCATCGCTGGTCGTAGGTATTTGTGGCGCTCGTGTGTGTTGTGTGCAGGGTTGGCATTTTTGCCGGCAAAAACTAGTTTATGCCATTTGCCGGTTTAAACCGGTTTTAACCGGCAAAAAAGTGGCAAAAACTGGCAAAAACTAAAAACCATCACAATGCAATGCCTAAACATGGATTTGAACAGGAAACATTTTAAGGAGAATTCAATGAAAGCTTTATGCTTTCAAACAGTAGTGACGTTGACCATTGAAGTGGTTCATAACTCAAAAACATTTTTCATGGGCTTTCCATAAGGAACCAGTAAGCCGCCTTTTGGGATCACAAATGAGCCAGTGCAAGGGTGAGTCCTGCACAATAGGAGGTGCGAAGGGGTATCTGCCGCTGACATGCACACGGCACCGCACGGCACCTTACTTACCGTGGCCGCTTTGCCCCACTCCAAGGCCCTATATAGAAGGTATGCTCATTAGGCCAAAGCAGCGATTTCCGTGACGTCACAGGTACGAAGCGTCGGACGGCTGTAATGCAATCCTATGGAAAATGACCCAACTTCAGGGCTCTCCCACATAGCTGCCAGACTCGACACCAAGGTAAAAATCGTATCATATAAAAGCTCAAATCAAGACGAACAAGAAACCTATCTGACGTTTTTACGTATTACTACCGGCTTAGACACTATTCAAGTATATTCAGAGCTCTGCATTAGCTCACTTTTTCTGCCGTCAATGCCACCACAAATGCCTATAGTCGGTGCACGTGCGCTTGTCGAGCGGGGACCACCAGTCGGGCGATTCGGAGCTGCCGCCCAATCAGAACGCCGCAATGCCGTGACGTCATTGGTCGCACACGACACGTTACGGAGATAGGGATGAGACAGCCCTGGCCCCACTCTCCCCTATACATGGAAATGCATTAGGGTGGTGGATGTCTACCGAAATGCATATACATTTTAAGCAGGGATAAGTAATGAGGCAAAGTTCAGAATGTTTAGTGCGCCTCTATAATATCCAGAAATGCATAAGTACATTTCAAAGCCATTCCTTGCTAGAAAAGATGTAGCTTTAGCCACCTGAGTTTTAGCCAGTTTTTGCCAGTTTTTGCCACCAAGGGTTTCTGCCAGCCGGTTTAAACCGGTTAAAACCACTGGCAAAAACCAGTTTTTGCCACCCCCTGCCAACCCTGGTTGTGTGTGTTGTCTCGTGTTTGTCATTCGCTGCTGTTGTGTTGTACGTGTTGTCTTTGGCACGGTGCTGACGTGTTGTCTCGTGCGGTACTGACTCGGTGTGCCTCCCGTTCAGGTGGCGTTTACCACACGAATCTACCACCCGAACATCAACAGCAATGGCAGCATATGTCTGGACATTCTACGGTCGCAGTGGTCGCCAGCGCTGACCATCTCAAAAGGTACGCACGTTATACACCCGCCCCGCCCCGCGCCGTGCTGACCATCTCAAAAGGTACGCACGTTATACAACCGCCCCGCGCCGCGCCGCGCCGCTGACCATCTCAAAAGGTACGCACATTATACAACCGCCCCGCGCCGTGCCGCTGACCATCTCAAAAGGTACGCACGTTATACAACCGCCCCGCGCCGCGCCGCTGACCATCTCAAAAGGTACGCACATTATACACCCACCCCGCGCCATGGTGACCATCTCAAAAGGTACGCACATTATACAACCGCCCCGCGCCGCGCCGCTGACCATCTCAAAAGGTACGCACACATACACCCGCTCCGCGCCGTGGTGACCATCTCAAAAGGTACGCACATTATACACCCGCCCCGCGCCGTGCTGACCATCTCAAAAGGTACGCACATTATACACCGGCCCCGCGCCGTGCTGACCATCTCAAAAGGTACGCACATTATAAACCGGCCCCGCGCCGTGGTGACCATCTCAAAAAGTACGCACATTATACACCCGCCCCGCGCCGTGGTGACCATCTCAAAAAGTACGCACATTATACACCGGCCCCGCGCCGTGGTGACCATCTCAAAAGGTGCGGACAGAATCTGTCTACTGGCTTCATGAATAAAGGCAGCACGCCTTCGGTTACCAACATACGGATACGGAACTGGCCAGCTGGGTGGCTGCTGGTGGTCCGAGAAGTGGCCGCTCTGCACTCTGAGCCGGGCTGGTGGTCCGAGAAGTGGCTGCTCTGCACTCTGAGCCGGGTTTGTGGTCGCACTCTGAGCCGGGCGTGTGGTCCTCTAAAAGTGGCCGCTCTGTACTAGTACTTGGCCCCGATTGACAACAGGAGAGATAGTCCAGCAGTTGGTGTAATCTCTGGTTATCTTTGACGCAAGTGGGAGAAATGGACGCCTGAGTGGCAGCGCCGTCTTTGGCAGCGCCAGACTTCCCAGTGTCTCAATTGGGACACATTTCGGCACATAACCCCCTCGCCGGGCCTATTGGCTTTCTACATACGCGCCGGCCGAGGGGGGGGGGGGTACGACCCCCCTCGCCGTTTCGTCCCTGATGGAGCTAGAGCGCCGCGGAAAAACTAGCGTGTGCGCCGCTACGAGACGCAGAGATTGATACCCAATTTTAACGTCTCAGATAAACCGGTGACCTCTGAGATGTCAGGTCAAGCGCTGCGAGGTACGGGTTCGGTTTTGATAAATAACTTCGCAAAAAACGGTCGCAGCGCTGCGTTTTTTGGCATAATCGTGATCGCCTCGCTCGGGCGCATCGAATGATATATGTACTTTTTGTTTGGGTGAGGTCAACTTAGGGTATTGACCTTAGGTCACGGTCAGGTCAGAACCCCCCCCCAGGTCACGAAGCTTGTTGAAGGAGGTCATATCGCACATCATTCGATTGGCAGGTCTTCCCGAGTCCATTGGTGGCTTTCCCGACTCGCTAGCTCAATTTGATCGGAAGTTGTTCGCGAAAAACTATCATGACACTCCCCGGCCGGCGAGGGCTAACACTGAACTTTGACGGCAATGACATGGCGAAATATGGTGGTCGCACTGGGCTTTGAACCTTGACTGAACTCACGTTTTGGATTGAAGAGTCTTTATTCTTTATGAGGATGTTTATGCGCCCTTGGTGTCGGTAATTTATGTTGTAATTTTCTTCGTATTTTCACGTTTTACATATTCGGTGGGGCCGTGGCTATCGTGCCTGGTTAGGTTGTGATCACATCACATCAATTAAGTATGTGCTCACTGATCAGTGATTAGGCTGCGGGCCCAGACCGGCAGCTCTGGCGGCTCAGCTGTCCGTCCCGCCGCCCAGACCGGCAGCTCTGGCGGCTCAGCTGTCCGTCCCGCCGCCCAAACCGGCAGCTCTGGCGGCTCAGCTGTCCGTCCCGCCGCCCAAACCGGCAGCTCTGGCGGCTCAGCTGTCCGTCCTGCCGCCCAGACCGGCATCCCCACCGCCGCTGGGCCGCCGAGTGCCGACTGTGCCGACGCTCGGCCCGCTGCCGCCGTGCCGGGGCGGCAGTTCTGTCGGCCGGCCGGCGCGCGCGGCGCTGACTCACTCCCTGTGACGTCATAATGCCACTTCACGCAGCGGTTAGAGGGGCGGAAATCGGGCACGGCAGAGCCGCGATGCCTTTGTTGAGCACTGCAGCAGCGATAGTGGCCGGGAGCACCAGGGAGCCGCGTGGCTCGACCGTCGGCAGCGGCTCCACGGCGCTGGATGACGTCACACCTAGCCACAGTGACGTCACATGTCCCGCAGTGACGGACGGACGCCGTGTCCCGGACCACTGTTCGGACGGCCACCCCGCCACCGCTGCCTGTATTAACATAGAGTGAATGGGCCGCGGTCTGCCCTGCTGGCTGCACGCCGCTGTGTCAGCACTGCGAGCCGGAATTGAGGCGCCAGACGGAGTCAGCGGGCTGGGCTGATTGGGGTATGACCAATGTACTCGCATACTGAGGTCAGGGCGGTGTTTCACGGCCACGCTGCCAGCCACTGCCAGCGCATTTCGCGAGCTGGCGCCATACTTGTGGTTAGTGTTGGAGCTATGGGTCTGTTGATGTTTCAATGGAAGCCCAAATTGTCACGTGTGCTGGCAGCGTCGGTGAAACACCGCCCACCTGTCAGTCCGGGCGGTCACACCATTATATGGATAGGGAGCGGCGGTACGTTACTGGGGTCTGCTCGGGGTCTGCTCGGGTGATGTTCGGGGTCTGCTCGGGTTATGTTCGGGGTCTGCTCGGGGTAGCTATCAGTCCGGGCGGTCACACCATTATATGGATGGGGAGCGGCAGTACGTTACCGGGGTCTGCTCGGGGTCTACTCGGGTTATGTTCGGGGTCTGCTCGGGTAGCTGTCAGTCCGGGCAGTCGCACCGTTATTGGGATGGGGAGCGGCGGTCCGTATGTACAGCGCCCATTGGATGATTGGCTGCTGTCTTCCACACCTAACGCCGGTGAATGTGATTTGAGTGACGTGTACGCAAACTCGGCGTGTATTCACTGTTGGATCGCTGCGCGCTGGAGCCCGGGACCAGGCGCGTCGAGCCGCTGACCTGGTGGAGCCGATTCACCATCAGTTGGTGGGACAGCGGCAGCGGCTGAGCTGTGGAGCGCACCGTCTGGGTGGCTGGCTGTGTTGGACGGAGCTGGCAGCGAGGGGTGCCGCTGTTTTCATTTCTGATGTGTTTTTTATTTCTTTTATTAAAGCCGCCGGATTGTGTGGAATGGGACTTTCTTGTCCATACCTTCATTTATAGAGAGGCTTATTTGTGGGGTAGCAATTCCCTATATGTTTTACCATAGGCCTCTGTATTACTGATGTAACGAGAGTGGCGTGTGGCTTTATTCACTTTCACTCACATGCATTTTCCAATCTCGTTCTTATGTATTTTCTTGATTATGAAAATTATACCACCTAGTGGCGTCTTTTGATGGTTTTCTTCTTATGCGAAATCTGCCACTGTGACTCTATGGAGTCTGATTTTTGCTGCAAATGCGTTCCACAGTGTGAGTGTTCCTGTCAGCCGACTGTGCTGGTCCTCACCGAGTGCACGTGCACTGAGTGTACCCCCCCCCCGTCCACTGATACACTGTCCCCACTCACCCCTCCCCCGCTGGGCTGCCTCTGCTTTCTCGCTCCCCGTGACAGATGACTCTTTGGAGAGTCTCGGTAAGACACGGGACGAGATCGCGGAGTCTCGGTAAGACACGGGACGAGATCGCGGAGCTCGCTGAGGACACGCCAGTGAGCTGGCTCGTAGAAATTGTCGGCGCTGCTCCGCTCCGCTCTCTGATCTGCGTTTCTGCCGGTCTGTCACGCCTCCATGAGCTCTCCTTTCACCCGCCGGCGTGCGGGGCGGACGCCGGCGGCGCTCTGTACTGCTGGTCACATCATGGTGACGTCACAGGTGGTGCTGCTGCAGTGACGTCATCGCTGAGATTGTTGGCGATGAAGGGCGGGAGAAGTTCAGCACACTGCCTGGGTGGTGTTTCACCGCACGCTGCGATCATACGTGTCAAATTGGGTTTCCATGGAGCATGTAAACATTTTTGAGGATGGAGATGCTAGTACTGAGCATTGTGTTACATATGATGATGAAGATGATTAGCCAGATGCTCATTATTTAGGATCAAAATTGATAGAATAGTTGTATTACGTTTCACCCACGGGGCTTCTTCGGATACATATAGGTAAATTCAACAAATAGAACACAGAGATGCAGGCCAAGCTCAGACACAAATCATGCGCATGCAATAAATATCGTGAAAGGATTAACAGATATCTTGAGATTTAGACGAATAATAATTTTAAGATCGACCCCTAAGTGCGTACTGCGCGCTATTATTTGTCTATGTTAATAAATACGTATACCTATTTAACAGTCGACAACACAATACGTACTACGCGAATTACGCTATCATTCCATCTCAGAATTCGTACTACGCGCACACTAATACATACACATCATTCTAAATCACAGCTAACAATGACCTATAATACCCAATCATAATCAGTGTTCGGCGGTACAGCATATCTACAGGCGCTGCCTACTGGAGCCATCTGTTAGACACGAAAGGAACTACTGCTACTATGTAGGTATCGGTGTCATATAACGCTACCAACAGAACAAGCCAAGGAACAAGCGCTAATGTGCATATGATGATGTGTAGGGAACTGGATGGAGTAAGCGCCATGATGATGTGTTTTTGTTAAGTGCTGGTTTTTTGTTTCTTATCTCAATTGATTCAGTTATTAAAAGGTTCGCTTCGTCCTTGCATCTATGAAGAATAGAAATTTCGAAGTCAGTGTTCATCGGTAGTGCTGTGGGGTGTGCTGTCAGTATATGATCACCTAGGTCAGTACCTTTCCTTTTGTTCCTAGCGTCTCCCAAGTGTTCCATAAATCTAGTCCTCACCATGCGTTTAGTTTTACCAATGTATGTATCTCCACACATTTTACATTTAATCT